CAAGGTACAATAAACCTAAATTGAATTGTTCATATTCTGAAAATGAACACGTCACTATCTGGTTATTTCATCCATACAGTCACAATCTGAAATAACGCCATGATCCTTCTATAGTAGCATATATATGTGATTTATCATGCCATTTGAATGACAAGGACGCTGCATGAGTATAGAATGTATTTTTGTAGTCTTTGATAGAACAGCAAAAACTTAAAATTTCTTCCTTATAAAACATTACTAGCTGAAGCTTGATTATCCCCCAATAAGACACAATCATATAAAATAAATATACAGTAAACTCCTTTTCAAATTAATTTCTTTTTATCTGGAATTTTGGAGATCAGCTTTGAGAATATATGCCATAGAATAAGAATTAAATTTAGTATGGAAAGAAATTTTATCAACAACCTAGAATAACTTGAATGTCCATTAATTAATTTTACTGTGCTTTCATTGTAATAATTATTTGAAATTGAAACCCTTTATTTCAGGCACTTAACAAAGGAGGGGAAATTTATATTCTCTGTAAGAATGGCACTAGTAAAATGCCTGAAAATTTTGCTTGAGGTGAGTTATTTCACATTGAGTATTAGGAAGGTCTCCCCTGAAACTTTTTAAAAATTTATTTTTATATATTTATGCATACAAGAACTGGGGTATAGGCCAGAAGGGCAGATGGGGGCTGGGATGGGTGGGTGATGAGAGGATTCACCAGAGACAGTCTGGAGCAGAACAGGAGTATCTACGGAAATACACAGCTGAGGGGAGCAGTTGGAGAGATAGGAGAGGTCTGCTGTGCTATGTGTGTGGGTCAGCTCCTTGGCCAGGGATTAAACTGTTCAGCCAGTGGCTGGCGATAGCTTGAAAGTGCTGAGACTTTAATCCCTGTGCCTGTGCCACCAGAGAGGCCTTTCTCTGAAAGTTTTAAGAGCACTTTTTTTTTTAATGGGGTGATTTTTCTTAATATTTCCTATTTCAACTCCGTTATTTTTTTTCAATAGGTTGATCCTTACTCAAAATGGGCTGTTCTTAATGTAATGGGAAAAGACTTCCCTGTAAAAGAAGTATTTCCACAATTTCTTGCTGATAGTCATCACCAAGTCCGCATGCTGGCTGCATCATCCATCAACAGGTAATGATCACGTGGTCCTGAAGTGTGTGGAGTGCCACAGATGGCAGTGTGGGGCTAGTTCAGCCAGCCACCACTAGTGATGTTAAAAACAGCCAACACTAATAGAGCATGTACTCCACACCTGGCGTTGATGTTTTTTTAATTATGACAGCTCTGTCAATTAGATACATTACTTTGTACAATTTATAAATGAAAACTCTGACTCAGAGATGTAATTTGCTTCATGTCCTACAACTAATAAATGAGTTGAAGAGATAAGTCTACTGCCACTTCTGTGAGATATAGAAGGTTTGAATAGGCCTGTAGTTACATGAATTTGTAAAATGAAAATTTAGCACCTTACGTTGCTTTATTATATTTACTTAAACATCAATTAGATATTCTGTATTCTGTCATAGGGCTCTGTTTTGTATTTGAGTACTTAAAGAAGCAAATAACTTCTTTAGGATTACATGTGTATAAACTTATCAAGTTGATTTTTTTTTAAAGATTCATTTATTTATGCATCCAAGAACTGGTGTACAGCCAGAGGTGCAGGAGGAGAGAGGATTCACCACAGACAGTGGGGCACAGACCAGGCAGATGTACTGAAATACACTGCGGAGAGGAGCAGCAGGCGAGACAGGAACAGTCTGCTTTACCATGAGGGTCAGATCCCTGGCCAGGGATTGAACAAGTGCTGCACGAGCTGCTAGCCAATAGCTTCATAGTGCTGCACTTAACCCTTTGCTCCACCAGGGAGGCCCTGTCAAGTTGATTTTAAAAGTAAAATGCAGGCTACCTCTGCTTTCTCTCTTTCTGATACATAAAGCTTTATCTCCCACTGTGCTCTATTTTTCTCTCTCGTATTTATTACCACTTGAAAGACTACTATATTTTAACACATTTACTTAAGATATTAGCATCTAGAAGCTCTCCTCTGTTCATCTTTTACACTTTAAGCAAAACTTGGCGTGCTGTAGGTATTAATAATTTGTGAAAGAAGTGAATATTTGAAAAAAGAAATTATAGAATGCATTGAAAACATAAAAGCTGAAAATTATTTGAGTAACTATACTGTTCAAATGTAAGTGACTAATAAAGACCACTGTGAAGAAATTACCCTTACAGTTATATAAAAACTTGTGTTAGTTATCCAAAATTTGAGTATCCTGCCAATATTGTTTTTGTAAATCAGCATATGTATTTTATTCCTTGGGTTTGGTGCTCTTTTTAGTAAAACCATAATGTAGTGTAAGGATTGCTAATGAATGTGTGCTTTAAATAAGGTAGAAAATGTATAGTGAAGTTTAGTCTTTGGGACAAGCCCCAGAATGATAGTATGTCACACAGTGATTTATTTGTCCTGTAATGTGCTTTGGAAAGTTTAAGTCAAAATATTTCACCTTTTGCTTTTTCATTTTTTTAAAGATTATTTCAAGATATGAAACAAGGATGTTCTTTGAGGTTTTTGAAAGCACTTCCTTTGAAGCTTCAGCAAACAGCCTTTGACAACTCATACTTGAAAGTTCAGGAAGGAATGAGAGAAATGGTAACTTTAGTAATGCATATTTACTATTATCATATGCTTTCTAAAAATAGTGCCATATGACTTTACTAGGTTTGGCCTAAGACAAACTGTATTCAGCAGTTTACAGTGTCAGGTGAGACTAAAGCAACTGTATGAGCTGACTGACATTGCTTATTTGTAGGTCAGCATTGGCAAATAATGGCAGTTTCTTTTGGTTTAACTTATGTAACATTTTTGTGAGGAAAAACAAAATTATGGCACCCATTACTTATTAAAAACATCTTTTTGAGTAAGATTTGATTAAAACCAAAATCAGAGAACAGATGGCCATAGAAAGATGGATTTTAAAAAATGCCATAACAGAGTATCACATTATCTTGGTGTTTTTCAGTGAGCTTGTGATTTCATATATCTTGGTAGAACATTTTTTCTTAAAGTGGCAAAATTGTCTTCATGTTCATATTAATTTATTCATTTATATATGCCTTTGTAAAAAGATGAAGTGGTTAATTAAATGAGTAGTCTGACAGAACACAACTGATAAGAACAGTTGCGTAAAGTGTGACTTAAAAAAATTAAATAGGTTGGAAAGAGGAGTGTAAATCCTATAAAATTTAATAGATAACATGTCACGCATTTTAAAATCAGCCTGTCACATGTAGAAGGGAAAAGTAGATCTGACAGTAGTTCTTTTGAAAAAAGACCTATGAATTTTTACTTCTTGAGAGCACAGTACAAAACAGCATTGTAATGGTCATCCAAAAAAGCATATTCTGTCTTGGATATGATTAATGGGAGGATAGGGGTAACTAACAACTTCATAAAAAGAACTTGGAGCTTTATGTTTTGGAGAATAGCTAGGATGCTAAGTTTGGTTCTCACTCAAAGTAGCTGAACAGTTTCTTTAACTAGGATGTTGGAGACTACAGGTGGAGCTGACTTGCTGGTTACCTCGTAGTCATTATCAAAAGTGTCAAGGTTGCCATTTACTGAAGGAATTAAGTCTTTCTGTTTCTTGTACGATAACTCAGACTAGGATTAGTGAAGAGAGTTTTCTAAAAGTGAAGAGAAATCTCTTGCTAGTAAAAAAAAAGGATGTGGTGAAGGGAGAGCTATGGTGACTAAATCTGAAGGGAGAAGTATGACTGTCAAAATACTAACAAAGATGTAAAATAATGGTACTTAGTTAATTTAAAAGATTGTGCATCAGTTGGGTATTATAATGATTGATCATTAAAATAGAAGTGCTATCATTCTATGTAGTTGCCTGATTATGTTTCTTTATAATATTTTAAGTCTTTTAAAAAGAACCATGTATTAAAGTATAAAGAGCCATGTATTAAAGTATAATGATACTAACCATCTTGAAAGTACAGTTGTGGTAGTTGAAGAGATGCTTTTAAAAGCTCAATTACCTTCTTACAATTGCTTTTTCTATTTTTTGAAGTTCTTTCTATTGCCCGAAATGTCTGGCAGTTATTTTCAAAGCTCTTACCAAAAGTAGTATTAAGTAGTTTTTCCTCTACTCTTAGCTCCATCACTTTAGTACTTAAAACTGGTCAGTGCTTAGGTGTTGTCAAGGTGTACTTTGATTTTAGCCTGATTGGTTTATTTGTAATGTTTAAATACTTACATTATTGTTTTTTAAATTCCTTTGCAGTCACACAAAGCTGGGAACCCTGAACTTTTGGATGAGATTTATAATAGAAAATCTCTTTTATTGATGATGATAGCTGTGGTTTTATGCTGTAGCCCTGTCTGTGAAAAACAGGCTTTGTTTGCTCTGTGTAAGTCTGTGAGAGAGAATGGATTAGAACCTCACCTCATTAAAAAGGTACATATGAATCACTATTTTTTATTGTAGTCTTCCTTGGGTAACATTTAAATGGTTAAAAAGTAAAAGCTAGATTTTTAAAGTGGTGCTTATTAAAAACTTGGAGACAGTTTTACACATTTGGAATGCTGTTAAGCAGTAACTCTTTAAAAGCTATAAAAGTAGATTTATATGCAGTGTCATCATGCATTTAATTTAAGAGCATTTAAGATGCCTTCCATCACAAGGCAGTGATGGAACTGACAAGAGTGAATGACCTCTGTGTGTGCAGATCAGATCCTCTGTAATAGCCTGTCCTGAGGGAAATATGGGTGAAAGGAAGTAGCAAGTGTTTTGCCTGGTGGTTCCTGGGGCAGGACACAGGGGTTGAGCAAATCCAGAAGCCAAATTTTAGAGCTGTGAGGCTTTTAAGTTGCGTGATAAGAGGAGAAAGACTTGGGTTCAACTTTAACAATTATATCAGCAAATGCTCATCCCTGGCCTGTTCCACCATCTCATCATTGGTTTGGGAAGTTCCAAACCTTTCCATTGTAGATGTTACAGGGTGAACATGATAGACCAGTGGCTTGATACCATTCCTTAGTCTACCAGCATGTTTTCCATGTGCATGTGACCTGGTCATTGGTCTTAGGTTAACCTTTGATCCCTTAGTTTTAAATAAGGGAAATAGAGTGTTTGGATTTTTCTTATTGGGTCTAGGAGTGCGAAGAATTATTTTTCTTTAGAATCTTCCTCTGAAATATAATCAAATGTGGATATTTGCAACATTTTCCCACTTTTATTCATTTTACAGTTGTTACAGATTTGTTATATGCCAAGCACAGTGCTAATGATATTTAAATACAGCTTTTCATTTATTCCATTTCATAGGTGAGGATTTTATGGTATAGAATACTTAAGAATGAATGCTTCAAAATTATATTGTGCATAAACATTAACAAGGATTTAGATGTTACTGTTTTCTTGATTTTTTAAAATAAAGTATTGACTTCTTTTTGATTTGTACAGGTTTTGCAAAAAGTTTCTGAAACTTTTGGATATAGACAGTTAGAGGACTTCATGGCATCTCATTTGGATTATCTGGTTTTAGAATGGCTGAATATTCAAGATACTGCATACAACTTATCTTCTTTTCCTTTTATTTTAATGAACTACACAAATGTTGAGGATTTCTATAGGTAGGCTTATTTATGGAACATGTGAAAAATGTTTAATTTAAAATTAGGTGTAGGCCCTCCCTGGTGGCGCAGCAGGTTTAAAGCACAGCACTGAGAATCTAAAGCCGCTTCCGCATGAGTTCGATTCCCGCCTGCCCCGGAGGTGACCACATGGCGTGGCAGACCTCTCCTGACCCGCTCGCTGCTCCCCTCAGCAGTGTACTTCGTTGATCTGCCTGTTCTGTTCCCCACTCTGTCTCTGGTGAAGCCTCTCGCCGCCCCTGAGCCTCTGGCCTGTACCCCAGTTCTGTATGCACAAATAAATAAATCTTTTTTTTTTTTAATTATAGGATTTATCACTTCAGGTACACTCACTCAATACCTCTTCCTTCTTCTCCCCTTCCCTCTTTCTAATATTCGTTTATAACAGTCTTCTTAGATGCCTGTCAACATCCTGCAGCCCTCCACTGTAGTCCGTGACACTAGAAGAACTTTAAAATCCCTTTCAGTTTTGATATTTGATAATCTTGCCCTTGAAAAATCAACAATAAATTACTATTTCTACATTTTCCTTTCCTGTTGCTTGACCATGGGCTATTTAATCATTATTTCTGTTGGATTTAAAGTTTAATATACTTGCTTTGGAGAAGATTTTGAAAGTAAAGAGTTTTAAAAACAACTAGAGAGTTCAGGTATCAGGATGTTGAAACACAGTTCAAAATTGTTTAGTGATTCTTATTGTCTGTTCATTTTGCCAATAACAATATTTAATAGTGTTATTAAATATTCAAATTCTTTGAATTTATATTTCACTTTCATATTTCATCTTATAATATATTTGCATAAATTGATTATGCAAAAGAAATATATAAGAATTTCATTTCAGTTTTTTTATAAGTTTATAAAAGGGTTGTTTTTTTTTTAACGTGACTAGCTTCATTTCATAATTTATAAAATTAGACTAAAGAACGTTTAATGACCCAGATAAAGGGATGCTCTTTTTATTTTTTTTTAATGAGAGGTTTTTTTTGTTTTTATGATTTATTTCAGTTATGTTTACAAGAGCTGGGAGGTGCGAGGTCGGTGTGGGAAGGTTGAGAGGATTCATTCAACAGAGACAGAATGGGGAGCAGACTGAAACACACTGCTGGGGGGAGCAGTGGGCAAGATAGGGGAGGTCTGCTGAAACGTGTGTGTCACCTTCCTGGTTGGGGATTGAACTTGTACTGTAGTGGCTGTGCATAGCTTCATAGTGCTGTGTTTTAACCCATTGTGCTACGAGGGAAGGCCCTGCAGTGATATTCTTATGCTCAATAAAGCATTTTGTTATTTTGAGAACTATATTATAAAGTTTTCTTTTGCAAAGTTTTATATATATAACATTTTCAAATTTTGTATTTTTAGATCTTGTTACAAGGTTTTGATTCCACATTTGGTGATTAGAAGTCAGTTTGATGAGGTGAAGTCCATTGCTAATCAGATTCAAGAGGATTGGAAAGGTCTTCTGACAGACTGTTTTCCGAAGATTCTTGTAAACATTCTCCCTTACTTTGCCTGTGAGGGTTCTGGAGAGTATGGGATGGCGCAGCAAAGAGAGACTGCTACCAGAGTTTATGATATGCTTAAAGATGAGAACTTACTGGGAAAACAGGTAAGGCTTCCACTATTACTACATTTTAAGCCCTGACTGATCTCACATGTAATTTGAACATCTTAAGTACTCTTAACAGCAGTATATCTTACAGATCTGATATTTTTGGTTATCTCATTTTTGATCATCTGCTATGGTCACTGAATCAATTTGGAAATGAGGCAATAACATTAGCCCCTTGAGCTAAAGGGTCACAGATACACAAACATACATATTTTTTCATTTTGTCCTTACAGATTGATCATTTATTCGTTAGTAATTTACCAGAGATTGTGGTGGAGTTGTTGATGACGTTACATGAACCAGCAGCTTCTAGTGGCAGCCAAAGCACTGATCTCAGTGACTTCTCAGGGTATGGGTATTTTCTCGTTTTGTTTCTTTATTTGCTTATATTTTACATCAGATTCAGTCCCCACAGAATTTCCACCACCAAGTGATACATACACCATCACCTCAATCTTCTCTGCTCATCCCACCCATGTTTTGTACTTTCTCCCCCCGCCCTGCAGAATTTCTCTGATTTATAGCTGTCTGCTTATTATTTTTAGTTTTATTGTATTGATTTTTTTTCTTTTATATGTTGCTATCTCCCCCTCTCCCCCCCATCCCTTATTTGGATTCCCTATATTCCACTGGGTATTTCAATTTTTAGTTACATACTCTTCTTTTAAATTCTGTTTCTTTAAAAATAACTACCTTTGATTTGAAGTAATGACTGTTTACTTGTACTGGTGTCTCTTCCTGGTAATTGCACTTTCTAGTTTGATCACCTAGTTTGCAAATCCAGTGACCTCTTTGTTCCTAACCTTTCTATAATCTTTGAGCATTGTGCCATCTGTCATCTGTTGAAATTTTCTTTTTCATTATTTCTTTGTCCTCTTCTCCTTATTCATGATCTGCATTTTTTTAGCCCCTTTACTTTATCATGTTCCTTAGCTATCAAAATCTTACTTACTATGCTACAGTTTAATTTGGATGTGAAACCTGGTTGTCTGTGAATATTGAAGTTATTTTCCCAGCTTGACTGTAAGCTACTTGAAAGCACCCCAACTTTTTTTATATGCCTTACAGTGCTGTGCTTGCAAAATAGTAATAAGATCTATGGTATTTGATTGCTGTGTTCTTAGCATAGGGCTTTAATTAAGACCTGAAGGGAAGTGATAATAAGACTTTTTTGTGGAGTTGCCCTACCTGGTAAAAGATTTGAGTAAATTGGCCCTCGCTGGTGGCACAAGTTGAAGCTCAGCACTCCAAAGCTAGCCACAGCTGTTTGAGTGCGAATTCTGTCCCCGGTTAGGGAGGTGATCCACATAGCAGACCTCTCCTGTCTCACCTGCTGCTCCCCTCAGCATGTACTTCATTAACCTGCCTGTTCTGCTCCCTACTCTGTCTCTGGTGAGTCCTCTAACTGCCCCTTCACCTCTGGCCTGTTACCCCAGTTCTGTATGCATATCTTTAAAAAAAAAAAAAAAGATTTGGGCTCTCCCTGGTGGCCCAGCGGGTTAAAGCACAGCACTGAGAAGCTTAAGCCACTTCCGCATGAGTTCTATTCCCTCCTGCCCTGGAGGAGATCCACATGGCATGGCAGACCTCTCCTGACCCGTTGCTCCCCTCAGCAGTGTACTTCGTCGATCTGCCTGTTCTGCTCCCCACTCTGTCTCTGGTGAAGCCTCTCACCCTCCGCATCTCTGGCCTGTACCCCAGTTCTGTATGAATAAAAATAAATAAATCTTAAAAAAAAAAGATTTGAATAAATCATTTAAAATTAAGTCTTAGTTGGTAAAGGTGTTTAGATATTCTAGTTGATATATATATATATATGTATATATATAGACTGGTAAGATCTAGGTAATTTTAAAAATGTTCTCCAATAGAAAAATAATTTGGAGTTATTAACAGTTATTCTAATTTTTCAATTTAGAACTTCATTAATCTATCAACAAAACCTGTTTTTGTGTTTTTTATATATATATATGTATAATTTTGTTCTGACAGTGGTGACTCTTTTCTCCTGTAACTTTCAGGGATTTAGATCCTGCTCCTAATCCACCTCATTTTCCATCACATGTTATCAAAGCAACATTTGCCTATATCAGCAATTGCCATAAGACCAAGCTTAAAAGCATTTTAGAAATTCTTTCCAAAAGCCCTGTAAGTACAGAGTACTATTATAAATAACTCAAGAGATTTTCATGTTTTTAGCTAGAAAATTTGTGTAAGTGCCTCTTGAGAAAAGAGTAAAAAGTGAAAATTCATCTGAATAAATGTAGAAACACTTTCATTTACACATTTATTTATCTTGTGCTATTTTACTAAGTATTAATTGAATTCAATTTTAATTGTGATGCATTCTATGTAAGGCATTAATTCTATGTTATTTTGGTCATGTATTGACTCAGGAATATAATTTTTACATGTTGTTTAATTATAGTTTGCTACAGATTGACAATTGCTTTGAAAGTGTGACATAGTAATTTTCTTAATCTTATACTGTGTGTTTGATATTAAGTCCAAAATCTAAATTCTATGATTTGGTTGTTGGAACATAGAATGTATTTACTCTAACTGAATATATGTGATTACGTAAGTTTTGACTAAATATGTATGTATTTTCTAGGATTCCTATCCGAAAATTCTTCTAGCTATATGTGAACAAGCAGCTGAGACAAATAACGTTTATAAAAAGCACAGAATCCTTAAAATATATCATTTGTTTGTTAGTTTATTACTGAAAGAGATAAAAAGTGGTTTAGGAAGAGCTTGGGCCTTTGTTCTTCGAGATGTTATATATACTTTGATTCATTACATCAATAAAAGGTAAGTAAAATATTTAGACCAACATATAAATAGTTTTTATACCCCATTATCTTAATTGAAAATATGTATATATGCTTCTAAGAGATAAAAGCCAAAGTATTTTCTGAATTTTGCTTTTTATATATTTGTTGTAGCTACCTACACTTCTCTATCTCCAGAATCTTAATTAAGTACTAAGGGTCTTTCACATTTAAAAAAAAATACTCTCATTTTAGATGACCTGAAATGTGTGCAGATGTACCGGTTCTGGTTACTAGCTCCACACACACGTCCAAGCATTCTCTGGCCTTAGCTAACTGTTTTATAATTCACCTCAATTCTGACACCATCTATTCAGAGATAGTGTCAGATCCCACAGGTGAAGGTCGCAGTCCTACAAAACCGACATTGTTTTCATTGCTTTTAGATACATATATAGGGGCAGCATGGACATATAATAATGCTTTATTTACCTCTTTGAGGAACTTTCAGTTTTCCATGGAATAAGATCTGTTCTGCTCCCTCCAGAACCAAAAGACAGGGTCCCACATTGGGAATGGGGACTGCAGTTTTCATGACTGCTTCCGACTTGGGGAATGGGGTGGGGCTTGTGAGTAAAATTCCCAAAAAGCTTTCCTGAGTTTAAAATTGCCTGTTCCTTGATTCGATGTTTGCTTGATTGCTAGAAACTTCTTGTTATTTTAGAGTTTTAACAAAGTTCTGATAGTTAGAACTGCCTACTTAGATTTTGCTGATGTCATTTCTCTTTTTGACTTTAAAACTATTAAGGAATTATTATAAAATTGTCTTTTCTGTGAAGCCACAGCAAAGTTAGAGATGATAAATAAAAATGATTTTTGTATAAGTTTATGTATCAAAGTAGTTTTCTGGAACTTACTGTTTGTTTCCCCTATATTAGGCCTTCTCATTTCATGGACGTGTCATTGCGTAGCTTCTCCCTTTGTTGTGACTTGTTAAGCCGGGTTTGCCACACAGCAGTCACTTATTGTAAGGATGCTTTAGAAAACCATCTTCATGTTATTGTTGGGACACTTTTACCCCTTGTGGGTGACCAGGTGGAGGTGCAGGAACAGGTAATTTCCCCAATTTCAAAATAATAATTGAAATACATTGATAAAGTACTCTTGGAAGAAGCTGAAAGTTTTATATTTAATTGGTATAATTTTAGTGAAAATACTCTTCTTAAATGGCTAAAAAAGGATTCTCAGTGGATCATTTAATTACAGATCACAGTAATTTTGAGATAATAAGTACTGCAATGGTTTGTGTTTTTTATGGTAGCGTAGATATAGTTAAAACTAAGGATAACAGTCCATTTCATTATGAGTGTGTGAGAAAGGCAATAACATCTTCCTTTCTCTACTTCCTTGGCCATCCTGTAGTAGTTCCTCATATATCTGTTGAATTATTTGAAAGCAAAAAACCAGTAATAGTTGGGTACTTTAGATATAACTAGACATTTCATCTGAACTCAGTTTATAAAATTTTTGCCATTTATTACAATATGATTGGTTATTTTACTTTAAAATATCAATTAAACCATGTCTTCCTTTTGATTTTGTTTCTTTTCTCATTATCTCTAGGTATTGGATTTGTTGAAATACTTAGTGATAGACAACAAGGATAATGAAAACCTCTATCTCACAATTAAACTCTTAGATCCTTTTCCTGATCATGCTGTCTTTAAGGATCTTCGTATTACTCAGCAGAAAATCAAATACAGCCAGGGACCTTTTTCACTCTTGGAGGTAATAAATTTTCCATTATTATTTCGGATTAGAGAAAATAAACAGTAGTGGTTTTTGAAAACCTCTAAATGCTCTAAAAGTTAAAAATTCCTTTTAAATTTATTTTTGATTAAATAAAATGAGATCTTACTTAACAAATAACTGAATGTTATAGCTTCTAGCACTGTAGTTAAAGTATTAATAGCAAAGTGTCTTAGTAAAAAGTTCGAATATGGGTGAAATGTGTCATAAAGTAAGCTTGATCTTTAGTGTACGTAAAGATCCAGTATCTCAAAATTACCATCTGATCCTTGGAGGGACAATTTAATGTTTGCAGAGGAGATGATATTTAAGTTTTAAAGAGTATTTCAAATTTGAATCCTATTTCAACTCATGTGAAATTAACAATATCTCTATCCAGGTACATTTTTCCCTACAAATCTTCTTATAATTTTAAAGTTATGCTCTCTATTTGACTATATATCTATGAAAATGTGCTTAAATAGATTAAGATATAAAACTAATTAAAGTATTAAAGAAATAGAAATATGAGCTTTTCCCCTCAGACTATGCTAAAATAACTTTAAAATCTGTATTATGAGAGAATTTATTAAAATCTAGAATGATTAAAACACTGCAGGATACAAATGGAAGAAGAAATTATTTCCACCTTGTTTGGTAGTAATAGTGATATGTTGGTATCTATAAAAGGCACTCAGTTTTTTCTTTTATTGCTTCCCTCATAGATTTAACCAATATATATCAAAAGCCACTTACATTTTTTGCTAATTTTCTCTTTTAGGAAATAAACCATTTCCTCTCAGTAAGTGTCTATGATGCACTTCCACTAACAAGGCTTGAAGGATTAAAAGATCTTAGAAGACAACTAGCACAACATAAAGATCAGATGATTGACCTTATGAGAGCATCTCAAGGTACTAATTTTAATGGTTATTTGTACCTGTTCTGTAAATACTCTTTTGCATTCTCTTCTTGGTTTACTTGACCATGGACTTAATCTAGATCCTCACTGTTTAGTTCATGTAACTGTATAAGACTTCCTAAGTAGTCTCATCTTCTCTATTCTTATTTAAACCAACCTCTTTATACCTCTGCCAAAATGATTTCTCCAAACCAATGTAATCATGTGATTCTACTACTCACAAAATGTTAACTTTCTAGTGCCTTAAGAATTTGAATTCTTTAGCGCATACAAAGTTGTATCTCTATTTCTCTAACTTCCTTATGAAATAAAAGAAATGTGTCTCGTTTGAAGCCTCTTAGCCATCTACATATGTATGTGAATATATGTTGTGCGCATGTATGTATATATATGTATATTCACACACACATGAATATATATTTCTAGCTTTTTTATGGAAGAACACAACTGTACGCTAATTTGATTTGAGTTTACTTCCCTTTTGACTTACATCTTTTGATACCCATTAATTTCATATTTGTACTATTATTTTTAATCAGTACTTTTAAAAGCTTATTTTGGGCCATCCTTGGTGGTGCAGCAGGTTAAAGCACTGCACTAAGAAGCTTCAGCCACTTCCGCATGAGTTCGATCCCCACCTGCCCCGGAGGTGACCACATGGCATGGCAGACTTCTCCTGACCCGCCCGCTGCTACCCTCAGCAGTGTACTTTGTCCATCTGCCTGTTCTGCTCCTCACTCTGTCCCTGGTGAATCCTCTCACCCTCCACATCTCTGGCCTGTACTCAAATTCTGTATGAATAAATAAATAAATATTTGAAAAAAAAAAAAGCTAATTTTGATTTTGACAATTTGACCTGTTTCTAGTGCACTTGTTTTCAGCTATCTTATCGCATCATAAATATATATAATACCTATAGACTATAAATGCACACAGTAATTATACATACATAAAATGTGAACACCTCTTTCTCCTTTTTTTTTGTATTTGAATATTTTATTAGCTTTGGCCTGCCTTATCCAATATATCTGTTAGCTGTCTAAATTTAGTAAAATTTGAAATTTCAGATTCTTGGCCATACTAGCCTGTCATGCTCTCAGTAGTTAATATGTGACTTGTGATTATTATTGAACAGTGCAGATTAAAGGACACTTCCGTCACTGCCAAAAATTCTGTTAGGTACACTAGTCTAGACCAAATGCTAGAGGTTAGAAAACCAAGAATGCTCCCAAGATCCTTTCTTGTAAAGTTGAGTGAGTTTTGTGCTACCGTTGGTGATTTTGCTAAGGTATGGACTTCTCTGAAAACTTCCTGCTCTTCTCTTCTCCATGGTTCTGTTTCATAGAGAAGTTCATATACAGTGAATTCATGTTTTGAACTGCTTGTGATTTGATGCCTTTTAAAAAAATGATATAAAAGTTTTCTAGTCAGAAAAAAGCATATGTCAGTTAATATAAACTCCATGATAGTTAATGTTTTTTTCAAAATTCCTCCTAGATCACCCACAAGATGGCATAATGGTGAAGTTAGTTGTCAGCTTGCTGCAGTTATCCAAAATGGCAGTAAACCATACTGGTGAAAGAGAAGTTTTAGGTAAAAGATTTTGCTGAATGAATGAATTTTTTTGTTTGAGTGGTCACTTTAAGAAAGTTGGAAATGCCTATTTGTATAGAGTACTTCATTTTTGGTTTTTTTATTGAAGTGTATCTTACTGCAGAAAAGTACATAGATCATGGATAGGTAACTTAGAGAATTTTTGCCTATATATCTAACACTAAAGAAACACTAAAGAAACACCACCTTACCAGCACACTAGAAGTTTACGTCAGCCAATTTATCCCCTTGTCCCTAAGAGCATTGCTTCTGGGGACAAACTCCAGTTGCTATAAGAAGCTATTTGACTTTATTACATAGCATAGAATCTTACTGGTTTGTGCCCAGAGCTTCACCTTAAGAAGGATGGACTGTCAAACAAATTGTGATGAATTTTAATCAGACTGGGAAACAGCATGAGTAAGCCCTCTGGCATGCAGAAAATGTTCTGTCTTCCTGTTGGTAGTAAGAACTGGTAGAAAACCAGTAAGTGTATATTTGAATTTTCACTGAACTGTGTGCTTAAGAGCATGCAACACCTAAAAAAGTTTTTAAGAGTTTATTACTAATCTCATACAGTGGCTATTTATGCATCCTTTATATTCTGGTACTAATTAATTAATCTGTCTGTTGGATATGATTTTATAGGAAATACTTGTTGCCCACCTTGGTGATTTGTAAAAAAAAAAAAAAAAAAAAATTGATACAGTATTTTGTAGTTTATTTCACCTATTCAAAATCTTTGAACTAGTGTAAAGCTTGAAAGATGCCCAAATGCCATTGTATATTTGAAATTAGATAATTTGATTTATGGAAGATCTCTTAGCTATAACTCTTACTAAAATAGAATTTCTGTATGTAGAGGCTGTTGGAAGCTGCTTGGGAGAAGTGGGTCCCATAAATTTCTCTACCATAGCTATACAACATAGTAAAGATACATTCTATACCAAGGCTCTTCAATTATGCGAAGATAAAGAAGTTCAGTGGACCTTCATAATGCTTACCTACCTGAATAATACACTGATAGAAGATTGGTGAGTATTTAATAATACTTTCATTGATAGCAGTTTACTTAAAAGCACACATGCTAGGAAAATAATTCCTCACATAACTTAACATTTCCGGTAATTAAAGCTTTTTCCTTTAAGTTGACATGCCTTTTTAATCGCAAGTATTTTAATGAATACCATCTTTTTATTAATTCACATTTTCACTGAAACCTCGTTATGTGCTAGCCACTTGATAGTGATGAACTCATCAGATTGTGGTATGTTCTAGTGAGAGCAGACTAGATAAACAGTAAGAAATCTACTAGGTGGTTCTATACAGAATGTTAAGATGGGAGGGAATGTAAAGAGATTGATGGGGGCGGTATTTGAGGCATTTGTCAAAATCAGAACTGCTACCCTACTCTCAGCAAGACTGTTTTGGTCTTTTTAGAAACAAGTTATAGAGCAGAAATTTCATGCCTCCAAAAGTCTTAAGCAAATCAGACAGGGTTTGTTTTTTTTTTTTAATCTTGCCCATTCTCTATTCAAAACACAATTGCAGTGAATTTCACCTTTCTGGTATGAAATTTTTTTGCTTTCTCTTACCCTTTTCACATTTATCTACTTCTTTTTTTTATGTATTTTAGCACCCTTCATCCTATTCTGGGCATGCCCACACCTTTCTAAAGTAAATGTGTTTTTTGCACTGTTTATTTTTAGGGAAAATAAATGTTTATATGTCTGAATGTAGTGCTATTGCCATTGATTTAATGGACATGGACATGTATCCTTCTCTTTTTGTTGTTGTTACAATAAAAAGGCTGGCAGGACTTCTTTCCCAAAGTTGTATTATAAAATTTTTCAAACATTGTAAAATTGTAAGAATTTTACAATAAATGTTCATCTGTCATCTGTCTAGCTATCATTAATATGTTTCTACTCTCCTTGCTTTCATCTCTAGCCATCCTTCTATCCCTTTATTAATTCACATCGTTTATGTATTTCAATGTGTATCTGGCACAGTTCTTGAAGAGATTTTCCAGAGAAAATGTGCATGTATTAAGTGTTACTTTTGTTACATAGGATTTTGCAGTGGCTATTCTGAAAAAGGTGTGACTTCAGTTTGAGAACAGTGGGAGGTACAATTTGTTTTTCCTGTGAAAACAGTCATTACACGTATGGGGGGGTGCTTTAGAAATACAAAAGACATGTTGACCAAGGAGTTCCCAGAATAGCTGGATGGCTTTTTACATTCTTTTTTTTTTTTTAATAATATAATAGATTATTTTTACGTCATTTTGTGCATTTTTCCATCTCAGTTGTATTCCCCGTGGGCTTCTCATCACCATAGTCCAGTGCACAACCCCCCACCCCCCACTGTTTTTTAGCCCATTCCCCATTCCACCCCTGTAAAATGTCTCTGGTATATAGTTGCTCATTATTATTATTTTCTTGCCTGGTCCCATATATTCCTACTATGAATGAAACCATCAAATTATTTTTTTAATTAAAAATTAAATTTTTTTTTTATTTTAGAGATTTATTTTATTTATGTATACAAAACTGGAGTACAGGCCAGAGGTGCAGGGGTGGTGAGAGGATTCACCAGAGACAGATTGATGAAGTATACCCCTTCTGCTGCTCACTGTGTGTCACCTCCCTGACCAGGAATTGCACTTTTGTTGAAGTGTCTGAGGCTAACTTCATAGTGCTGTACTTTAACCCTTTGCGCCACCAGGGAGGGCCCTGGATGGCTTCTTGAGGTCAAGTGCCACCTAGCTGAGCCACCAGGAATTGACTGAAAGATGATTTCTTTTTTTAATTATTTGGGGTTTTTTCCTCTTCCATCATATGCAAATGTGTTCCACTCACTCTCCACCAAACTACCCTGCTAATACCCCATGAAAGGTGATTTAAGATACAAGTCATAGATGATGTGCTAAGCAGGGACTAGCAAGAGTGCAATAAGACTGCTATGTTTGAGGAACAGAAAGAAGCTGGTGTAAAGGAAAATGATGTGAGATGAAATCAGAAAGGTAGGACTAGATCTTATTAAGGAATTTGGAATTTATTGGAAATATTTAAGAGAGGTGTGGAATTTTCAGCAAAGTAGTGTCATGCCACATCTTACATTTTATTTTAGCTTTGTAAATGGCAAATGATTCATGATGGGTAAATGTGAAAGACAAGGACTGACCATGAAGCTGTTGCATAGTCCTTGGGGGAAGCTATGGTGACTTGGGTAAGGTGGCAGTAATGGAGCTGAAGCATGATGGAAGCAGAGCCAGCAGGACTTGCTGAGGAATTAGGTAGGGTGGAGTGAGGGAGAGAGGAAGGAAGGATGAATGCAAATTTACAATTCATGTGTGTATGTCTTATGTTGAGAAACCTAAAAGGGATTTACCCTCCCTGGAGCCTGTAGGTTAAATCTCAGTGCTATCATCAGTAGGCCTGAGTTGTATCCTGACCAGGGAACTAACGTACATATGGCACAGCAGACCTTTCCTGTCTCACCCGCTGCTCCCTTCAGCAGTATATTTCAGTAGACCGCCTATTCTCCTCCTCACTCCTGTCTCTGGCTTTCACTCCCCAATACCTCTGGTCTACACCCCAGTTCTTCTATGCAAAAAAAAAAAGTACATCTTTACTTAGCAGTTCATCCCCACTTACAATATGAGCTCTATGGCAGTTCTTGTCAGCTGTCACATTGTTAGTGCTCTAGTAGTTCGGCCTTCCTTTCCCCTAATTTTTGTGAAAGAAAACTTTCAGTGCTTTTCTTGGTGACATTTAGATGTTTTCCTAATGATTCTCAACTTCTAGTCAGAGTAAGTACATACTTTTGTCTAAAATTTTTCTAGAATAATCTTTAGGATAGTTCTAGCCATTCTTGCCCTACCCAAATTACTCGTATTTTTTATAAAAAATTATTTCCTTAGATGAATTTGTATTCTATCATTCTCTTTACTTATTTTTATTATTACTCTGTTGTGTTGAGGTATGTCTTCTTATAAGTCCTTCTGAACTTACAGTAGTTACAAAGGAAACTTTATTGTATTGAATGAAGGGAATTGCTGTTGCCATGATAATTCAAGTGTACTAAGAACAGTTAAAAGCCCTTTGGTAACTTTGGATTTGATGTGTCAGAATTTTATTGCTGTAAGGTTTATTGATAAATAAAAGAATTTTACTATTAGAAAAGGAAAAATTTCCCAATAGAAATTTTAAATTTTACACTTTAATTTTTTTCATTGGAAAAATCATCATGATTCATAGTTGATCATTTTTTATAGATATTTGAATTATATCTGTTTTTTAGTGTCAGAGTGCGATCAGCTGCTGTTACTTGTTTGAAAAGCATTTTGGCCACAAAGACTGGACATCGCTTTTGGGAGACTTACAAGATTACCTCGGATCCCATGCTGATCTATCTGCAGCCTTTCAGAACATCAAGAAAAAAGGTCTTTCAAACAATAAACATTTATTGAATACCTCCTATATCTAGAACAGTTCTGTTTGCTGTGAGTTATGAAGACTAACTAGCTTAAAAGATATTATACTTTCTTAGAAATAATTCTAGCTGTATTTTTTTTTAAAAGATATAAAAGATGGACTTTTTTTTATTTAAATATGGCAGCATGGAAGAGCAGAACTAGGTAGCAGAGATAGAGAAGTGATGGCTAAGTTGGAGGGGATAGTTCATAAGGGCTGGACTTTTTTCTTAGGAGTGAAAGCCTTGCTTCTGTCTCATATAAGTCAAGTGTTTATTTTCATAGCAAGTTAGTGTATCACAGGCCCTGTTGAAATATAAGGTGACAGATGGAGTGTTCCCTTTTTTCATGTTGACCATTCTCTCAAAGATAATGAAGAATATTTGCTTCTACTTTAGTCTAAGCATTCTTCTTAAATACTTTATTTTCATAAAGTGACTAGGAACAATAGGAAATATATAGTTGAATTTTCATCAGTTTAGTAGTAGCATAAACTCATCTTGGATATAGTATTTTTAATATATCATAAATACAATTTTTGGTCTTGCTGAAATGACTACTAACTTAAACTGTTAATAAAATTGGTAATATGACCTGTAAAATGCTACAGGCTTAATTTTTTTTTTTTAATTTTACAAAAGTTTATTTTTACATCATTTTGTACATTTTTTTTTCCATCTCAATTGTAATCCCCGCAGGTTTCCCATCAACAAGTCACCCGTGTGCCATCACCATAATCC